ATACTTTTCCATCAAGAGGTAAATATCGAAAAATTTGTCAAATTCTAAAATATATCATCATGATATACTGATATATGCAATGATACTTTGTGTATTTGATCTTTTTCATTTCTCATTAGTTTAATACTTCTATAGTATAAGACTCGACATATTCCTGACTATTATAAGGCTGTTTGTATATCTGCCTGTTTTTTCCGCTCATCAATATTTGGAATTATAAAATTCGAGTCTAATTAAATAAAATTTTTTAATCGGGATGAAACAATAGAACATTTCCAAGTATTTCAAATATTTCTTATAACGCATTGCTTATAAAAATTGTTTATCGGAATCAAAAACTGAATCTGGATAATAAAACAGAAACAAGTTCAACTATATCAGAACGTTCATCATTCACTTCAACCATTGTAAGTTCGTTTTTTTAAACCTGGCTGGTCTTATCACTGAAAAATATTTCTGCCTTTTGAAAATATCTGAAGATGTAAACTTTTAAAATTATTGCTTTGTTTGTTATCAGGTAAATTTTTCAATCAGAATGGAAGGATAATATCATCTTTATGATTAACTGTCGAACTCTGGTCTTCTAGTTGGAATTCAATGGCATATTTGTTTTGTTTTCAATGCTGTAGTTAAACTTGAAATTTCCATTGCAAATTAAATGTAGTTTTATCTTTTCTTATTTCAGAAATCCCGTCTTCACGTACAACCACCGGATAGTTTGTCATTTGATTCAACAACTTCATCGCGTGTTTCATCTGATATAAAGCCAATTCGGCACTTCATTTATCAGGATTTAATATGTGATATTTTGATTTAATTTTAATTACACTATCTTATTTTAATTCATTCGACTTTTTCGATTCAATTTTATATGAAATCATATTTCTAAAACTATCAAATGCCACCTTAGCACACTTGAATATTTTAGCATGTTCTAGAAAAATAGGCAGTTTACAAACATACTAAAACATATCTGAGGAGACGAATTAGATTGATAAAGTTAATTATGACTATGATCGTTTATCAGTGAGATCACGGCAGTTTTAAACTGTTCACTATCATACCGTGTCAGTAAATATCAGGTAATTCTGATAATTCTGGTGGAAATTCGTTCGTTATTTCAACAAATATCATTAACAGTATAAATATTTATTCAGTGCCTTCACCGAATCCGTTGTGGCAAAAGATGGGTTTTTGGGAAAATGCATTTTTCGATGTGGTTGCACAAGAACGCGATATTATAGGAATGGATCAAGAACCATGTGAAATGATTGATAGATATTGTAGTTTGTCAGAATCTGAAAAACGCCGTCTAGAATTAGACGAAGATCATCTGTTATCTACCTTACTTCATAATTTAACATCCTATATGATTATGTGCGGTGGAGGTCAACGAACTGTTCAACAGGTGATCATTTATTCTTCTGGAAAATTTCTACATCTTTTAAAATTTGGAAAAAAAAGACTTTAGAAGACGAAAATTTTCTTGTTAATTATAATTAATAGTTCTAGGACGCAAACCTATTTACCTTTTTTTTTACTAGCCTTTCGTTTTTTTCTCATTGCTTGCTTAATCAAAACTGTCATTTTTCTTTACATCGGACTTTTTTGAAATTTTATGGTTTCTATGCAGTTTAACTAAAGAATGAAATTAAAACGGAACGGTTTAATGCTTCGTATCGTTAGCCGATTTGCAGGAGATTGAACAATTCATGTCATAGCTGACATTCGGTTGTGCTGTCACATTGAAAAAAAAAGTACTGCATTAAACGACCAGATAGTTTCGGATCAATCTAATAAATCTTCATATTACCTGTGTCATTTTTCATAGATTTTTAAAATTCATCTGTAAATTAAAATTTGTATTAAATTTCAGAAAATACGGCGATTGTTAGGTAAAGCTCATATTGGTTTGGTTTATTCAAAAACGATCAATCAACTTCTGGATGATCTTCCAAAAACTGTTGGTATTTGAGATTATACATCTTTTTATTTTTTTTAACCATTCTACCTCTTAATTGAATTAATCACTGAGAACTTAATTGACGAGTAAATTTGACGAATTTTTGATAATCTTGCTGAATCTCTTTGCAAAGTTTTCCATTCGATCTATTTGAAGGACTTTATTTGATTTCATGATAGGAAAATGTTAATGATTCCAAAAGTACATGCTTGTTTAAATGTTTTAACTTTCTTGGCTATTCTCTTAAATCTCTTTCAATCAAAAAATTTGCAACTTTTATCAGTTTATCTTACTGAAGCTATATTTTATCACATCAAAATTATGGCTCCCGTGGAAGTATCAAGTTTTAGCAAAGTAATGGGATACCGTTGAAACCACTTGGAAGTCGTCTTATTCAAAAACAGTCGTTTACTGTTCATGAAGGAGCTACAGCGCAAGATCCGCTGATGTTTATGGAGGTAAATTAGAACCAAATTCTTATTTTTTCCAATCATATCACATTTAAAATTTGAGAGTAAAATGTAAAATTATGCGTTGCGTAGTAATAACTTTTTTTCTTTTTTCTTTTTTCAAAAGTACTTGATTTGTTTTGGTTTTTGATTTGGCTTTTTCTTTTTTCTTTCAAAAATTCTTGTTTAGAAATAACATATAGTTTGCCAAATTTTATAGTATTTTTTGAGGTATGCGATGATGCGGTGGTGCTTCGAGCAGTAACAGGTGCAATTACAGAACGATGGTGGTATGAACGTGTAGTGAATATGACGTATTCGCCCAAAACACGTGTTTTATGCTTATGGCGGCGACATGAGGGAAAAGTGCACATGCATAAGTTTTATACAAGAAAGGTTATACTTACATCTGGTAGATGTGTATATTCATACGTCGGATGTGATCTTTCGGAAATTCATGAAGCAAAGAAATTTGATCTGATTGGATGCAGTTGTCCTGATAGCTTCTTTGTAAAATGTCTCTTATCTTTTTTTGCAAATGTTGCAGTGTCGCGAACTGTATACTGCAATGAAGGAAGCGATGGAGCGAGCTGCAATACGAGGTAAAGTTACATTATCTGGACGAGATTTGGGTGGCGAATTTCCGGTTCAGGATATGGAATCAAATCAAGGTGGATTACTACAAGTGCGAATAGATGGTATAACGTTGCTTTTCGAAGAGAGACAGGTAATGATACTATTATTATTCCATTTTCTCGTTTCGAAATTTTAAAATTTTGAACAAATTAAATAATTCACTGAAAACCTCTACCTTTTTTTAAAAAAACTTTCGAATCATTTTCAGCATTTCGTTGAATTGAGCAATATTAAAAAATGTAATACCTTTGGTGGGAATGTATTTGTTCTTGAAGAATATGGTAAGTTATTTTCAAATAAAATGTTTTAATTTTCAGCTTCGTTTTTTCCTTGTTTAATTTCTTCTCTTTTGCACAAATTAGACCGAAATTTGAAAATTGCTCCTGCTTAGCATACCTGTGCAAATAAAATCCAAAGAATGTTTGGAACTCATACTTCAAATTTTTTAATTTTAATTCGTTTCATTCGACATTTATTTCCCGCTAATTTAAAATTTTTTTATCGGATGTTTTAGTGTCCGTCAGCACTTTTTTTTTGAGACCACTAAAAAATTTTAAGCGAAAATATGAAGTTTCATCAAAATGCATTATTCCTTTTCATATGGTATTTCGATATCATCTTGCTTCATCAATTCTTTTCATTTCTTCCCATTCCAGAAATATAATTTGAAAATTCCAGACTAAATTACAGACTCTATTTCTGATACACACTCAAATAAATAAATATTTGTTAAGCTTTTCTATTTCTCGGATGACAATTTCTGCCGATCTCAGTTTATGGGGAACTCAAAAAACAAAGTTTTTTTCTTCAAGAAGTTTGATATATTACTAATTTATATTTATATACAATTCGTAATAAATGTTCATTGCATATTACAGATCGTAAAAAGAATGAGCTAATACAAAGGCGTTATTTATCACAAATGGTAAGATTTAAGCATTTTAAAATTTCTTTTAGTTGACAGTTCGTTTTTTTTTACCTCTGTTATATAGAATAGTTTTAGTTAACCATTACGCTGCTAATATATTTGTATATTTGATAAAAATTTGATATTTGCTGCATGTTTATAAATATCGTCATTTATTTTATCTTGCTAATCATAATTTCATTTCAATTTTAATTTCACTCCTTTCTATCATTGTCACTTAGTAAACAGTACTAAGTTTCAATATTTTACTGTAAAGGGTGGATTGAGAGGAGTGCATGATTATAATTGGTTTTAAAAGACTAGCCAATATATGTTTTGGAATATTCGTTTGATTATTTGTATTAAAATGTAATTTGCAGTGATGGGAAGAGTGGAAAAAACCGTTTTTGAAGTCGTTGTTATAATAGTAGTAGTAGTTATAGTAATGGTAGTAGTAATAGTAGCAGTTGCAGTAGTAGTAGTAGTAGTTGTTGTTGTTGTTTCTGTTCTAGCAGTAGTAGTAGTAGTTGCTGTTGTTGTTTAATGGTGTTGTTTGCATGTGTAGTAGTTGTTGATTCAGGCATCCAATATTGCATGGTCATTACATCGTGTATTTTCCATACATTACATGGAACAACCATTAATTAAGCACAAGACTAACGTAAATGATGCAAATCCTGCATCGGAATCAATCTTATGCACACCTTCGACGTATAACGATGATTTATCGAATAACTCAATCATTTCTATCGTAATGAGGAATAATTTGGCAGATTGTGATTAATTGTGAATTCATGGATGTATGAACAAATATGTACAAGGGAAATCATCACTGTTAGTAGTGCAAATATTTTTTAGTTTCTCTACTTACCAATACATTCTTTGTCATCATTTGAACTTTGAACTGGATGTTTTGCATGTCACATTTGATAAAATTGCATGTCTGAATTTGCATAGATTTAGTTAATATGTTTAAATTATGTAGAAAATCAATAGATTTTAATGAATTTTAGGCTGATCAAATCTGTTATGCGGTTCTGTGCGTTTTTTCGATCGTTGCTGCAGGACGTCGAACAAGTGATATGAATAAAAGGAGTATGAAATTTCCAAAAAATAAATTGTCACTGACACATTTCTCATTAAAACCGGAACCGTAAATGCTGATGATTACATGTAATTGTTACCCATTTGTATTTTTTGTTTATTTCTTTTTTGGGAACAAATTAGTAACTGTTAGTATTTCATTTGTATGTCTTTTTTTCCTTTTTAAGTATTTAATTAATTAGTATAAATTTCGAATGTTACAACTATCCTTCCGTAATGTCTTCCGCTATAATGTATTGGAATTATATGAATTAGTTGAGAAGTATTGAAATTTGAAAATGGATAGAGTGAAAAGCATTTGAAATAGTTTTTTATTGAAATCCATGAACTTAGTTGCAAACATATCAAGCATCCATTAACTACAATGACAAAACGAATATGAATGTTTTAATTTTTTCATAAATCATTACTTTTTATCCGGAAAATGCATCAAAGAAAAGAGGAAAAAACTCTAAATAATTTTTACATTAATCTAAATTATTTACAAATTTCGAAAATTATTTTGAAGCTCTGAGTTTTTCAATCAAAAGATTTTACTTTTTAATTGAAAAGGAAAAAGAAAGTTTAAAAGGATCATTTTTAATGTATTTTCCCTTTTTCTGTTAAATTTGTTTATTCTGTTAGAATCTATTTTGTCTTAATGGTTGTTTCCATGCAAAATAAAAGAGTTTATTATGGTTAATTTTGGAAAGAATTACACCGGGAAATATCATCATCCGATTTTGAAGTAATATGTGCTTTCTTCTGAGCGTTGGTAAGAGCGATTGATTTACAGGTGGATGCATATTCATTGCTTAAAAATTCTGGTACAGTCCTGGAATTTCCTGATTTTATAAAATTTTCTGCTTAAATGTCTAGTAATATCCTTTAATGATAAATAGCCTTGTATTGGATTGGGAATATGGGAAACCTTCTTCAATTCTTACTATCCGAAAAAACTTCATCCAGAAAGCTTAATACATTTTGAATTTTGCCACATTTGAGACATGGTAGTACAATTCATATAAAAACTTTTTTACTCAATTGAAGAAACAAGTAATTTTTGACAGCACCTGGTTGATCGTCGATGTTTTATATGATATCGACAATGACATTTTCTCATGAAATCTGTCTCATCTATTCTAGCCAACAAAGATCTACAAATTAACAAATTTTCATAAACTGAAAGCATATATATTTTTCCGAAATCACAAATTGAAAAATTAAAATTTGAACATTTTAAAGTTTTAATAACAAAAGTTTAAAGATTTAATAACACATAAAAAAAGAAAACCTTATATAATATTTGTTAAATATACGTTCATCATGTATAGCCATATAAACTACAAGTGAAAATAGCGCAGCAAATTCATTTCCCAAAAATGAAATCTAAAATAAATAACATTGTACTTTAATACTTAAAATCATCATTGACAAGATTAATTCCCAAATTCAAATTTCTAATTTAGATGAAAAAAAAAGTTTTTAAATATTAAAAAAGTGAGAAAAGACTTACTTCAAGCATAATAAAGGAATATCCATATGAATAATGAAAAAGTGGATCATCTATTTTGGAGGTAGCATAAATTTTATTGCCCACTTCTTTTGAAACAGCAGCCATGTAAACAATTATGCATGCAAAATTTGCCATTCCTAGAAAACAAGAAATAAAAAGAAAATTTTCTAAAGTATAAATTAACTTTTAAAATAATTATTTAAAAAATTTCTGAAAATTTTTATTTACGAAAAAAAAAAGATTGATGAAAAAAATTAAAGGAAAGTATTTGTTATTTGAAGCATTTAAAAAAAAATCATTAATTAAAAAATTAAAGCAAAGTAATTATTATTTGATCAAGTATATATGTGTGTATATTTTTTTATTAAAATTAAATATTTTCTGAAATGATTTTTGTACCAGAAAAAATATGCAATACGGAACAACACATAAGAGAGTGATATGGCCATTCTTGAAGATAGCATATGATAGCATTAATTGAACCCAAAATAATTAACACAGTACCAGAAATCATAAAAATGAATGCACGATGTACTGAAACTGAAATTAAACATTTGAATTTGCATGAAAAGTTTAAAAATTCGGAATAAAAAAAAGGGGGGAAATTCTACTTGTGCTTAATTATTTTAGCAGAAATGAATTCCGAATATTTTTTGTAAATATTTTTTTTATTTAAACTTTTTTAATATTTTTTTTAAATTTATACTGACTTCAACTTTGTGATAAATTTTAATTAAATTCATTAACAATTGCTATTCTTAATGCGTAAAAATCATGGAAGATAAATAACTTACATTCAACCGAAGTTGTAACATCATATGGCTCTTCTGTTGTAAAATAATTTACTTTTGTACAATGAAAATCGGTTGCAGCTAAATGTTATCAAAAATTTTAAATTTCATTAACAATATCATATATTTTAAAATACTAATCATTTATAGTTTTACTGAAATTAGAAATTGATCAAATTATTGCCTTCATGAAATTTCAGTTTTTTTTTCAAACTATTACTTGTTTACTTATTTACTTAATTAATCAAAAATTTGAATGTATAGCTTAATTAATGAATAAATAAAAATAACAAACGATCAAGCCAACAAAAAAGCCATGGGCCAAGAGTTGCATTCTTGAAATAAACAGTTTGATCTATGATATCTTCATTACCATTTCTAATTGTATCATTCGGATGAACATAATATTTCAAAAACTTCCGTTGTATACAACCAATTATTTGTGCATGTACCTTTAAGAAAAAAAAAAAAAAAAGAAAAACGAAAAAAGTAGATAATTAAAATTGATCGGTAAAAAAAAATTATAATTTATATCATCGATAATTTAAAATTCACTCAACTAATCTATTTCATTTTTTTTTTTTTAAATTCTATTTCATCTTATTTTTTTAGCTTTTTATGATTATAATTTTTTTTTCTTTTTAATAAAAAAAAAGAGGATGGAAAGAAGGTAAGAAAGAAAGAAAAATCTCACAAATATATTAATTAATTTTAATACAATATTTCAATTTTAAATGAGCAAAAAAAACGAAGAAGTTTTGTATAAAATTAATTATAAAAATTTCG